AATGAAGGATATTAGGAAACATACCTTCTTTCAAATGCACCATACATCTGCACATTCATGTCATTTGATGCATACAGAGCGGTTCAGCCACAACCGTCTTTGGTCACGGGGGGAAGCACAATAAAAGTGCTTGTGGGGGCAGCATAACCAAAATCTGACCATGACTACATAGGTTTGCTTTCTCGTGTATCAATAACCCAAATTGAATTCACTGCCGGGGAACTTTTTTTAGGAATTATATTGAATAAAGATGCAAAAGTAAGCAAAAATATAAAAACGGGGAGGCTGATGGAGGCAGCACAATGGTCCAGCAAAAGTGCCACCTGAATATAAATAAAACTTGCAAGCAGTGAGGTATTTAGGTGTTGAGGTTTTGCCTTTGGTAGGTCCAAGTACAGGTACCAGGAACCTTTGATAACAGTACACAAAAGTTGACTTATCTAAAAGTTTAAGTTAGTGTTATGGTTAATTTCAATGTTAGGGCTTTGGGTAAAGCATGTTAGGGTTATGCTTTAGGAGGTTAAGTGTCCGGTTAGGATTTAGGCCTCATCCCAGATAGCAAGTAATTGAGCTGCAAGTTTGAAAATGACTTGCTAAACTATTGCTAGACGTGCCAAGCTTCACAATTACAGCAAGTCTGCATTTCAAGTCTCCAGATCAACGTGCTTTGTAAAAGTGCTGTACACTTGCAGAGCTCTTGCTAAGACCTGCAGGACTCTTACTGAAGACTTGCCGAGCAAATTTGCTACAAATTCAAAAAGTGTCAACTAGAAGTTGTGCTGCAAGTGTTCTGCAAGTCTACAACTTGCCAGGAATGTGTGCAGCAAGTTAATAAGTATTACAATTTAACCCTGCCACAAGTTTGTGGCAAGTTATCCTTGCTATCTAGGATGTTGACTGTTAAGGATTTAGGTTAATGGCCAAGTTTAGGGTGAGGTTATGGGTTATGTGTCTAGTTAGGTTTTAGGGCTAAAGTTGAGTGTTGAGGGTTACTTTTAAGGATTAGGTTAATGGTTAGGGTTAAGATGAGGTTATGGGTTAAGTGTCTAGTTAGGTTTTAGGGGCACAGTTGAGTGTTAAAGGTTACTGTTACCCTAAAAGTAACCCTTAACACTCAACTTTACCTCTAAAACCCAACCAGAAACTTAACCCATAACCCCATCCCAACCATTGATTTAATCCTACAAAGTCTATGGTTCCATTACGTTTAGCACACAAAAGCTAACTTATGTAAAGGTTTTAGTGTTATGGTTAATTTTAATGTTGTTGTTAAAGAGTTGAGGGTTGGGTTTTAGAGCTACGGTTAAGTGTTAAGGGTTACTTCTAAGGATTAGGTTTATCGGTAAGGTTTGGGAGAGCTTATGAGTTAAATGTTAGGGTCAAATTAAATGTTTAGGTATACATTTCAGAGTTATTAGGTACACATTGAGGTACCAGGAAGCTTTGATCCCCATACCTTTGGTGCACACAAGCTAACTTATCTATAGGTTTAAGTTAGTGTTTAAGTGTAATCTTAAGGATGTGGTTAAAGCATAAAGGGTAAGGCTAAGGGTTAGGGTAAAGGTTAGAGTTACAATTTGGGTGTTACGTGTCCGGTTAGGTTTTAGGGCTACAATTAAGTGTTAAGAGTTATGTTTAAGGATTAGGAATTAGGGTCAGATTGAGTGTCCAGGTTTATATTTCAGGTTTAGCATGGTTAAATTTATGGCTCTGGTTAAAGTCTTAAGGGTGTTAGGGTTACTTTTAAGACTTGGGTTAAGGGTTAAGGTTAGGGTGAAGATATGGGTTATGTGTCAGGTTTACATTTGAAGGTTAGGTTGATGGTCAAGAATTAGGGGTTGGTTGAGTTAGGGTTTAGGTTAAATTTTAGGGTTGGTTTAAATGTCAACTTTAGGGTTTAAGTTACATTTTAGGGTTGGGTTAAGTGTTAAGTTTTAAGGCTAGATTAGGTTGTAGGGTTGTGTTAAGTTTTAGGGATAGGTTAAGTTTTAAAGTTGGGTTAAATGTTAACTTTAGGGGTTAGGTTAAGTGTTAGGGTTGGGTTAGGTTTTAAGGGTTAGGATTGGGTTAAGTGTAAACTTTAGGTGGAAGGTTACATTTTAAGGTTGGGTTAAGTGTTACGTTTTAGGGTGGGGTTAAGTATTAAGTTTAGGAGTTAGGCTAAGTTTTACGGTTGGGTTAAGTGTTAAGTTTAAGGGTTAGGTTTTGGGTTGGGTTAAGTGTTACGTTTAGGAGTTAGGTTAAGTTATAGGCTTCAGATGAGGGTAGGGTTAAGTATTAGGGTCAATCTAAGGGTTAGGGATAAGGACATGTGAGGAAATGTGTTTTTTGTGTGTTTTTGGTGCCACTTTCCTAGTGAAAACCGACATATTGAAATGAGGGGTTCTTCATAAACACTGAACAATGAAGTATTAGTTTATATTTTGCCAAGTATATGTACACTTCCCAGCTGTGCAATAACTCATAAAACAATACAGCAGTGCAAAATGTAATATACAGATAAATATAACATTAGAACCAGATTTTTAAAAAAAGTTTGCCGTGGCCCGCTGTGAAATAGGTGTGTATGTATGGTGCTAACTCTGTGAATAGGTGTGTATGTACGGTGCTAACTCTGTGAATAGGTGTGCATGTACGGTGCTACCTCTGTGAATAGGTGTGTATGTACTGTACATACTCTATGAAAAGGCAAGCTCAGTTGAAATCAGTGCAGCAGACATTGGATATTCATAGTTACATAGTTACATAGTATTTGAGGTTGAATAAAGACATATGTCCATCAAGTCCAACCTATTGTGTGTGTATGTATAGGTACTTGAGTCATCTCATTCTTACCTGTACCTGTACCTGTACCCCTGTATATTACGGTCTCTCAGGAAAGCTTCTTGAATGATTCCACACTATTTGCTGAAATCACTGCTTGTGGCAACGAGTTCCAGACCCTAACCGCGCGAACTGAGAAGAACCCCCTCCGCCCCTTGTGTTTGAATTTTTTTTCTACCAGTTTTAGGTGTTGTCCTCTAGTCTTTGTTACGGAATTAATCTTAAAGAGTTTGTTGCTAATGTTGCTATGACTATTGAACATCTTGTACATGAAAATCATGTCCCCCCTTAATCTCCTCACTTCCAACGAGAACATATTTAAATTTAGTAGCCGTGTCTCATAGCTCTGGTCCTCCAGGTATTCAAATCACTTACACAAAAAAACAAAAGTATTTCTTTTTGTTAGCTTACCATTGCAAACTATAATTATATTTGATTCATTTCAGGATATATTAATAAGTAAAGACAGTCAATTTAAAGATTTATTTTGAATGAATTGACAACATTTATTTTCGTTTGTATTATTTTGTAAATGCTTTCAACATACATGTATTATGAATTCAACATTTCAGACAAGTCGGCTTCAAATTTGAGAAAAAAATGCTAAATTATTTGTGAAAAAGAATATAAAGTTTCTTTCATATCATTTGTGTTAGAGCTGTGCTGTCAGCGGCTCTCTGCCCGGTCCCGCCCTACTTGCTGACGTAACTGGTTGCCAGCTAGGGCATCCTGTTCAGCTCCCTGACAACTGATGAGATCAGTTAGCTAGGCAGGAAGCCGCACACTGGCCACCCCTCTACCACCCCACACCTGCCACCCCCTCCCCAAAGGGATGCCACCTTAGACGGTTACCTTAGGCTGTCTCTTTATAGCAGGGATGACCAAACTCCAGCCCTCCAGCTGTGGTGAAACTACAAATCCCATGAAGCATCTCTCTTCAGGAGTCATGTGTGTGGCTGTGAGAATCTTGCCAAGCCTCATGGGATTCGTAGTTCCACCAAAGCTGGAGGGCCGCAGTTTTGACATCCCTGCTTTATAGGGAAGACAATATATATACTAATATATATATATATTATTATTATTATTATTACATAGTATTTATATAGCGCCAACAGTTTGCGCAGCGCTTTACAATATAAGGAAGACATTACAGTTACA